TCTCTCTTCAAAGCACTCCCTTTAGTATCTCTTGTGAGGTTGGTCTGCTTTTAACAAATTTCCTTAGCTCTTATCTGGAAATCTCCTAATTTCACCATCATATTTGAGGGACAGTTTTGCCAGGTATATAATTCTTGGATTATAATTTTTCTCTTTCAGTGTTTTATGTATACCATCCCATTGCCTTTTTGCCAGCGTGGTTTTTGCTGAGAAATCAGAGCTTATTCTTACTGGTTACCCTTTGTAAGTAACTTTTTGTTTTTCCCATGAAGCTTTCTGGATTCTTTCTTTGTGTTTGGTTTTGATGAGTTTGATGATGATATGTCTTGGTAAATTTCTTTTGGGTTCTGTCCTGTTTGGTGTTTATTGGACTTCCTGAATGGATATATTCTCATGTTTCATCATATCTGGGAAGTTTTCTTCCAACAAATGTTGGACAATTTTCTCAGTGTTTTTGTTTTTCTCTTCCTGTTCTGGAATTCCAATGACACGTAGGTTATTCCTTTTGATGGTATCCCACATGAACCTTAGGCTTTCTTCATTTTGGTTTGATCTTTTTTTGATTGATCCCTTTCCAGAGAAGTATTCAGGTATTTGTCTTCAATCTCATTAGTTCTGCCTTCCATTGCATCAGTTCTACTCCTTTGCCCTTACTATGTGTTATCTATTTCTGTCAATTTAGTGTTGATCTTCTGAATTTCTATCTGTAGATTTAGAATCATTTCTAATTTTCAATTTATTTTGTCATTTTGTTCTTGTATTTTCTTCCAGAATTCTCCTAGGGTTTTGTCTGTGTTTTCCTTGATCTGTCTCTCAATCCTCTGAAGATTTCCTGAATATAATTCTTTTGAATTCCTTATCAAAGAGTTCCAATGCTGCTGCTTTCTCCAGGATTTATTCTGGGTCTGTATCCTGTTCCCTTGTTTCTACCACTTTATCTTGCTTGTTTGTGTGGACTGTGATGGTCTGGTGTCTCTGAGACATAGTGGCATTGTTGTATTTTGATTTCTGTTAACTGTTTGTGAAGAGCAGTCAAGGGTGAGTCAGGCCTTTCTTGGTGGTTGTTTATGGTAGGCCTGTTGGTGGAGAAGGAGGTGGTGGCTCTCACTCAGTAAGTGAAGCTGCAGGAGGTGTGTGTGTAGTTGTGTTGCATGGGGACTGTTGCTGTCTTCCACTCAGTTAGACAAAAATAACTATAGAATAACCATCAAAAAAGTAAAAACAGAAGGACAAAACACACTGTATAATAACAGTAACAGTAACCAAAAAAGAAAAAAGGGGAGAAAAAAAATAAACCACCACACTATCTGGTGAGAGGGCAATAAAAGAAAAAAGGTAGGGAAGGAGAATATTAAAGAAAAAAATGGGAAAAAATGCAAAAAGAAAAACAAGGAGCAGGTTTAACCAGAGAAAGAAAAAATAATTGGAGCCAGGAATACATAAAAGAATAAAAGCTGAAAACTAGAACCTGAGAGGGGAAGAATAATGAACAATAATAAAAAGGAGAAAATTAATGATAATAATAGTAGTTTTAAAACTGAACAAAACAAAGAAACAGAAAAAATATCAGGGCAGGGTAGGGTAGGGAACTCAGGCTCCGTCCTTGCACACACACTGGGATGGAATTCCTGCTGGCCCAGAAGGTGGATGGATGTGAGGGATGGCTGTACCTCCCTTTACCAAGAGTGTGTGGGGTATAAGAGTAACAAGGGGAATGTCATATCTTTCCAGTCGTCTGTGTCCAGAATGTCCTTGAGGTTCCTGGCAGGTAAAACCTGTTCTGAGCCTGGAATCTGGGAGAATGCTGTCACTTTTAATATCCAGAAGGTCAAACCGCTTGTAAACATTCAAAATGGCTGCGCCTTCTGGACAGGCAAAGTCCACAGCTCAGCCCATCTTCTTTACTGCTTCCCCTTCTATTCACCAGCCATCAGAGCAGTCATCCATGCAGTCCCTGGCTAGCAAGGCTGATTTTTAGGTTAATTTTTAGGAGGTCCTACCACCACTTGGCAATATCCAAGCTGCCTATGCTGTCAGGATCGCTGCCAGACCGCTGCTCCATATGTCTCCTTTTTTGGGGGTTTTGTGCAAATTCTTCTTCTAGTTGGAGTTTACTCCACTTCTATAGCCTTCTCTTCAAGGCTCAGGTGTCCAGGATGATCTTCTGTATCTGTGTTAATTGTTTCCCCTTTTCTTTGTTGAAGAGGGTCTGTGCAGTCTTCCTGCCTATTCCACCATCTTACCGGAACTCCCTCAACACTGAAATATTTTTAACACAATACAGTATTAATAATAATGTTTTGATGTATAGCACTGCCAGGTTATTACTACGAACCATTGTGTTGTGCCAGAAGTGTAGGCATCGAGTTTTCTGTGGCTGTGGCAACTGCTCTGGGCCTTATTCCTTTTTCTTGGTCACTGCCGGTGTCATGCCCTCTTTTATCCAGACTCTCCCTACTTGTCATCCCCAGGATTCTGGTGTCAGGCTTGAGCTGCAGAATGGAGAGCCGGGAACATGACTGAGGTGAGGTAAGACTAGGCCAGGACCTGGGCCAACTAGGGTCAGGGTTGGGCTTGCACACCATGCCCAACTGCAGACAGTGCTGAAGTATCAACTGGCCATGTGATGTGGAGCAAAGCTGGGTTTGTATCTGCAGCCTCCCACCTGGCTGAGGGCCCTGCCAGCCCCAAGTGGAGCCCACACTGGGTCCTGCACCATCACCTCCTGGGCTTAGTTCAAGGGGCACATTGCATGGTCCTGGGCTAGATGGGGACAGGGAGCACCCAGTGGTTGCTGAGGGACAAGTTGGGTGAGATGGGATGTGCGCCAGTTGGTCCCTTTCTGTGCATGGTTGCTGAGTTTACACTGAAGGAAAGACATATGAGGGTTGGTTTTTAACTACAGGTTGTACTTTTGTCCAATCCTCATAACATGGGCACTGTCTTTATCTACAAATATGTGCAGTTATATAGTCTAATAAACACTATTTGATTGATGGGGAGATGTTGGTTAAGCTGATCTATATCATTTTGTAACAACTTAAAACAGGGTTGAAAAGCTACAGCTAGCAGGTCAAATCCTATCTATGTTTTTGTAAGTAAAGATTTATTGAAACACATCCATGCTAATTGGTTTATGTATTATCTCTGTCTACTTTTATGCCCCAATGACAGAGAGGTGTGACAGAGTGTATTGCTGGCAAAGCTGAAAGTATTTGAAAATATTTACTATCTGGTTCTTCAAGGAAAAGTTTGTACTAGATGGTGCCTGGCTACCACTGTCAACCACTTGGAGGGAAATTTATGTAGGAAATCCTGGATAGAGAAGGAGAACAATGTGGAACAAAACTCAAAATCATTTTTTTAAAAAAGGGGTGTGGGAACCAGGTTTGTTGGTCTGTTAGAGCCTTTCATGTCTGGAATTAAACCCATTCCTGTGGCTTCCAGCCAAACAAAAGACAGACATAGAGGTGAATATTTATATTAGGTAGATAGACTCCTTGGAGAGCTCAATCATGGGAGAACAGAAGGGCTGTGTATGCACAGGGAGGCAGCTGGGAGGCGGGGGCAGGAGTGCATGGGAGGGAAGGACACAAGGAAGAAGTAACTATGGGGAGGAAGTGGGAAGAGAGCTGTTACCATGTAGGAAATTGTAGTCAGTGTCATGAGACAGAGTGTATGTGAACTGCTGTATAGAAAATGAGTTTGCTCTGTAAACTTTCGCACAAATCACAATAAAAATTTAAAAGAAGGAAAAGAAAATGTTGCAGACACTTCCTTAGAATCTTAGTAGCATAAAAAGTATTTGTAGATACTTTTTTTTAAACTGCTGTCAGGAACATTAGGGATCATCTTGGTCAAGGAATCTTAAATTTAGCTTATATATCAAGTGCACATGTGCAGTATACTTCCATTTGTAGTAATTTTCTGTGTGTGGGGAGGCACAAAGGATAGCGATTATACTCTCTAGGGTACTATGAGGAAAGCATGTTATTCTGGTATAAGGATTATAGGGTAGGGGCAGGTATATTCTTACTTTACCAAGAGTCTAAGCAATTAAAGAGGTTCTGGTGGCACTGTAGTTAAGGCATTCAACTGATGAGCAGAGGTCAGTGGTTTGAACCCACCAGTCTCTCTGTGGTAGAAAGATGAGGCAATCTGCTTTCATAAAGATTTACAGCCTTTGAAACCCTATGTGACAGTTCTGCTATATTCTGTAAGGTCACCAGGAGTAGGGATCAGCTCGGTGGCTGTTTTTTTTTTTTTTTTAAACCAATTAAAGGAGTTGTCCAATGTTTACAGCTGTTAATAATAGGGTGAGAACCAATATTATAGCCTCTAACTCCTGGTTCTCTTGATCTTGTTATATAAATTTGTTTTCCCAAACTAATTTGGTAATAAGACTCTCCAGAATATTCATTAAATACATAGATTCCTCTGCACTTCTCTAGATCAACTGAACAGACTCTTTTGGGAATGGGCTAGAAATATATATTTAACAAATGTCAAGTGATTCTTATATTTGTGTTAAGTTTGGAAAACATTGCATGTTAACTACGTTACCTCATACTTAAAGCATGGACTTTGGAGTCAGGCAGGCCTGGGTTGAGAAACCTATTTCATCTAGTTACTAGCTTTCTTGCCTTGGAAACATCACAAACTTCAAGCATTGTTTCCTCATTTCTAAATGAAACTACTGCTATCTAATTCATAAGATGGTCATCTTAAATGATACAATGAATAAAAGGCATATTGCATAATATCTAACCATCATCCTTCTGTCTGTCTGTCTATCTATCTATCTTTGTGATCTTTCCTTTCTCCTTATATTTTATTCTCTGATCCTCAGGTTTGCGCCTCTTCCCTCCAACTCTGAAAGATTATAAACTAAATTTGGCTTATAATAAAAAATATTACGTGTATCATTCTGAAATTTATTTTAGAAAGTTAAATGTATAATAACAAAATATTTCCTTTTTTTTTTCATATGTATCTTTCAGAATCATGGTGTCATGGAAAGGGATTTACTTTATACTCACTCTGTTTTGGGGAAGCTTTCTTGGAAGCATTTTCATGCTGGGTCCCTTTTTACCTTTGATGTTTCTAAACCCATCTTGGTATCGCTGGATCAACAACCGCCTTGTGGCAACCTGGCTCACACTACCTGTGGTAAGTTTTACACCAGAGAAGGAAACTGTATGCTTGTGTTAAAGTGGCCCAACCTATTTTTACTTTATTAGAGTCAGATTTGGGTTGTAGAAGAAACATAAGTCCTTCATGTTATATAAGACATACTTTAGTATTTAAAGGAGAAAATACAAAAACTAGAAGGAAATAAAAATTATTCATTCTTTGGAATAAATTACATAATTAAGAGCTATATTACAAAATCATTTTATTTTCATATTCTTCATGAATTTTCTTATTATTTTCCTTCATTGATGTATACTTTACATCTAATAAAATACAGAAATATTAAAGGTACATACTGAAGAATTTTAAAATCATTAACTTTATTTTGTATTTCCACTGCTTTATTTTACAAAACAATGAAAGTTAAGATTCAGATAATAAACTTTTTTCTTTTGTTATGTATGACAGTAATGTGATTTACTTAAATCTTTCCAGTAACCACAAAATGTAGGAATGAAAGTGGTTGCCTGCGTGTTGGCCTAGGTTAGCAACATCTGTAAGGTAAAAATGCATACAATGTGTGGAGTAGATTCATGGAACACCAGGTATTCGCTGTAAAGTCAATGCACAAAACTCTGAGCTCGTATTTCTTTGATCTGAGCTGATGACTTCCTGTGGGATGGAGCCCAGACTCCTCCTTCCTCAGGGACTATGAAGGAACTCCAACTCCTCCCTATGGCTGCATATCAGCAGAGCCTCCTTCCAAAACTGAGTTCTTTGTGTGCAGCTATCTGTATTTACCTTGAAAGGTTATATTTCCTTAGAATATTCTTTTCTTTCTTTTTCCTGAGCAACTTTTCCTAGAACTTAATGTTAATTGGTTTATTGACTTGTCAGGGTAGAGAGGTGATGAGTATAATACCAAAAAAGGGAAATGAGAAGACTACTTTTCCTTCTGTTGTTAAAGGATCTTCTTTACCTGTTTGTTTTGGATTGATTTGTCTCCCCCCACCCCTCAAGTAGCATCATGCTAATGATACAGACGTCTTAAGTGAAAGTTGATTGGAAAATATTTCTCAAAGCAGTGGTTGGTATGGTTATACCTACCTTTATAGAGAGACAGACAGAGAAGATGTTTCTGAAAAGTTCCCAGTAAATTAAATTTTAATAAATCATTACAATATATCCTTCCTTTCATATTTTAAAAAGAAATACAGGGGTGAGTAATTTTACAAATTGTATTCATTCCTTGTTACAAAGTTAATTTTTTAAATTTTGATTTAGATAGAACTTTTTTTGTGTGTGTGTAAAACTGTTGGTTTTTGTGTGTGTGACAGTTTCAGTAGTCAGATTCCTCCCCTCATCTCCCTTCCTTCTCTTCCTCTTCCTCAGAACCCTTTCTTCTTTCAGCATCTTTTCTATATTTGCACTTAAAATTGTCATTTTTATGACATTAAGAAATAGATTCTAGCATTCTGGTAATTAATAAATAAATAACTGTAGTTTGATTTGCATATTTAGTTCATGTATAAGGAGAAGAATCTGGGGGTTTTATTAAAAGGAAAATCAAAGCAAAAGCCCAGGGATAATGATACTAGCTGTTGTGTACTTATGTGGGAGATCCTGTGTTAAGTGCTTTATGAGCATGACCTCATTTTGGGTGCCACCATTATCCCAGTTTTACAGAAGAAATAGAAGCTTTGAAAAATTAAATAACTTGCCAACATTGCAAATGCAAGCAAACTGAGAATTTTAAGCCCAGCTGAAATTAAACTCAGTTTGTCTAACTGTAGAGCTTTTGTTGTTTGGTGGTGTTGATTTGGTTCTGACTCATAGTGACTCTGTGTACCACAGAACAAAGTACTACCATGTCCTGCACCACCCTCACAGTTGTTGCTGTGTTTGAGCCTGTTCTTGCAGCTACTGTATCAGTCCATCTCATTGAGGGTCTTCCTCTTTTTTGCTGACCCTCTATTTTACCAAGCATAAAGTCCTTAGAGCCTTAGATGGTAGAATTGGTAAGAGTCACATGGGGTCTTCTTAGCTCCTGGTGATAAGAAGCTGTCTTTTACCTCATGAGTGTTTTTTTTTTTTTTTTTTAAAGTTTGGAGTTCTTTTAAGCTGGGGAAGGCCTGACTTGAGAACAAATTATCTGAGAAATTGATACCAGTTAACTACCTGCCATCAAGTTAGTCCCAAGCCATGGTGACCCTGTGTGTATCGGAGTACAACTGTGCTTTGTAGGGTTTCCAGTGATTGATTTTTTTTGGAAGCAGATCACCAGCCCTTTTTCTTAAGCATCTTTGGTTGGACCCAAACTTCCAACCTTTCGGTTAATCATTTGCACCACCCAGGGGCTCTGAGAAATTGGTATTTAGTAATTAATAGTAAAATCAGTGTCAAGAGTGTAATGATTCCCTCACATTGGAAGAAGAAAGTTTGGCAAATAGTAGTCATAGAAAGCTTTCTCTTTTGCTAGAGAAGCCAAAGACACAGAGCATATTAATACATATATGTTATTTCAGTGAACAAACAAAGCAGTGTAAAGGTCAGAGTAGCCCAAACTTGGTAGCCGGGTTATGCTGGCTTCATAAACTGAATTGTACAATGTTCCTTTTTCCTCTGTTTTTGAAAGAGTGTGTGTAAGATTGGTATTTTTTTTCTCCTTAAATTTGATAGAATTCGCCAGTTGTACCATTAGGTCTGGAATATTTTTTATAAGAAAAATTTTTTAATACATTTTATTGAAATATAATTTATGTACAGTGAAATACACAAAACTGAAGTGACATGGGTCAATGCATTTTTTTTTGTTTTTTGCAATGTTCTCTCCCCTCCCTGCCTACCCCTAGCAACCAACAAAGATAATTTCCTTCCATATATAAACCTTAATAGGAAGATTTTTTATAATAAATTTATTTTACTTAGTAGATAATAGGATTATTCAAATTTTCTATTTCCTTTTTTTTCTGTTTTGGTAAGTTGTATTTTTCAAGGAATTTTTCCATATTATCTTAGTTGTTGAATTTATTGGCATAAATTTGTTCATAGTACTGCAGTTTTAACCCTTTAATATCTGTAAGATCTCTAGTGGTACTCCCTTATTTCTGATATTGATAATTTATATCTTTTATCTTTTTTTTCTTGATCAGTCTTATTAGAAGTTTGTCAGCTTTATTAACTTTTTCTAAGAATCAACTTTTGGCTGTATTACTTTTCTCTGTAGTTCATCTGTATTATTCCTTCATTTTTGCTATTCTTTCTTTCTTTCTACTTACATTGGATTTAATTTGTCTTGAGGTACAAATAGGAGCTCTGATAGCATAGTGATACTACCTAGGAAACCCAAGGAGGGGTCGCTATGAGTCGGGGCCGACTCAACGGCACATAACAACAACAACACAACAATATAAACTTAAAAAATGTGTATTTCCCTCTAAGCATTATATTAAGGATCCCTGGTGGCACAGTGGTTACAGTGCTTGGCTGCTAGCTGAAGGTCAGCGATTGAAACCAGCAGCTATTTTGCGGGAGAAAGATGTAGCAGTCTGTTTCTGTAAAGATTTACAGCCTTGGAGACCCTATGAGGCAGTTGTACTTTATCCTACAGGGTTGCTGTGTGGTTTTGTTTGAAAGATTGTATTAACTTGCATCTCACAAATTTTGACGTGTTGTATTTTCATTATCATTGAGTTTGAAATATTTTCTAATTACCCTTGGGATTTCTTATTTGATCTGTGGGTTATTTAGAAGTACACTGTTTAATTTGCAAACATTTTAGGGCATTTCTAACTATTTTATTATTATTGATTTCTATTTTAATTACTTTGTAGTCAGAGAATATATTCTAAGAACTCGGTCTTTTGAAACACGTACTGAGATTTATAACCCGGCATTCCCTGAGTACTTACATAGAATGTGCATTTCGGAGTTGTTGAGTATACCAAAAAAAAAAAAAGCGCTCTGGTGGCATAGTGCCTAAGGCATTTGACTGCTAACCAGAAGGCTGGCTGTTCAAACCCACCAGCCACTCCTCAGAAGGAAGGTTGG